AGACAGCAGAACCCTTCATCCGGACGCTCCTTAAAGGGCCGGGAGCCTGGATTCCGGACGCTTGACCAAGCTCTGTCTCTGTCCGGTGTCTTTCAGGTGGGCCTGGCTCAGGCAAGGGAACACAGTGCGAGAGGATTGCGGAGAAGTATGGTCTCAGGGTGCTGTCCGCCGGGGACCTGCTGCGTGGTGAGCTGCAGGCAGACTGCGAGAGGAGCAGGCTCATCAAGGACATCCTGGAGCAAGGAGAGCTCCTGCCCCTGGTAAATCAGGCTTCCCCCCTCCTCGCACAGGCCCGTCCCGCAGGCCGTCCTTAGCACCTGTGCTATGAAGCTGAAAAAGCCTTAAGTTTCGTTTAGAAAACGGGTTACTTTATGGCATTGGTGCTGTGAAAATTAAAGATGCAGTTCTACGTTGCTTCTAAAAGCTTTTAAAGCCATTTAAAACCAAAAGCTAGAAGAGAGGTGGCTTTTGTGGAACAGCTTGGGAACGTTGAGCTGATTTGCTGTTCGGGTCCTCTGTGTGCAATGGCACGGTGGGATATTTCACTGACGGGCGACCCCAAGACGCCGAGACCGGGCCAGCCGTCTCGGGATCGCAGGATCACTGGTGGAGGAGCTGATCAAGGATCTCGCACCCTTGCGGGAGCGTTACCTAAACGCATCTTTCTTATCGGGGTCATGAAGCTTAATCCGAGAGGAAAGCGTGGCACCGTCGGGACAAGACGCGTAGGTTTGACCACAGTTTGAATGACTGGGTGTTGAAATCAAATTGTGTGTTTCACCGATTCTACTGTCCTTCACAAGTTAGTAAGGCAAGTTCTTCAAGCTGCTGTGACCACATGTATTACGGAAATATTTTTTTCTTTCCTCTGTGCAGGCAAATTGCACAGTTTGTGATGAATCCAACGATCTGCAAGCTATAAGGGGGGGCTTCTTCTCTGTGACTTTCTCCATCTTGGAGAATTCTAATTAGCCTTAGTAGTTCTCATGCAATGCCTAAAATACCTTCAGATGTTTCTGTGTTTGAGTCTGATCGCTTGTGCTGTCAAAATGACACTGTCTTCCCGGGAACTGCCAGCGTGTCTTCGTTTTATCTGTTGTAATTGGATTTTTTTAACTTAACTATTTTTTCTCTGTGAGCCTGTTTTACAGTACTGTATATCCTTCCTCATCATAAAATCTATTATCTTTGCATCCTTACTTTACCATATGTTCAAGACTCCCATATATCAGGAAACATAAGCAACACAACAGAACAGGAAGGCATTCTCTCAGGAGGGAACTATGGGTTGCATGTTGTTTCATAATGTTGAAAGCCATGTTCCTCTGGGTATGTCTGCCTGCGTCACTCTCTCTCCTAGCTGAGTGTCTCATCACCAACACTACTGTTCTGCATGGAAGCCTCTGTCAGCATGGTTAGGTAGGAATGAAGCAGACCTTTAATTTTGGCTTTGCTTCTCTGTAATGTCTTTGGTTATTTTACTGGGGCGTAGGCATGGAACGTAATGAGTACAATATAAGGAAAATCTATAATACTTTGTGAAGAGATCAATAAAAATCATAGCAACAGTGCAATCTTGTTTTGTCTTCTGTACTTAATGTACTGATTGCATGAACCTGTTCCAGTTTATAACAAGTCCTTACCATCTTGTTAGTTTGGCTTGAGTATGGTTCTGCAATCAATAGTGCAGTGACACAAAAAGAACAGCAAAATCTCTCAAGATCAAAAGCAAAATACAAATTAAGTTCTGTAACAGCTTCCCGGCTTGCTGGGGGCTGGGCAGCAGGTCAGAGATGGGATAAGAGCATGCTTCCCGCCTCTACCACACTGCAGTCAGATTAAAGCTAGACATTAGAAATAGAAATAGATTTGGATTGAATAGAAAAAAAAATCTGTGGTTTTAGCAATATACTTGCAAACTGTTTTTTTACCCAGCCTCTGATCTACAGCTTTGAAAGGGGTTTCCAACACTGGGCAAGCAGAACTCTAATGAGTTTAGGGCTGCATGCTGAATCGGCATTCCCTCCGGTACAGTTCCTAGGACTTTCACCAATTGGTCCAGGCCCTTCTGGCAGTAAAACAGAGATGGTCGCCTACAGTACTAGCGATCCAGGTTTGATCCCGGGCCCCAACTCGCTTTCCCTCCAGCATTACAGCATGTTGCCCGTGTTCTCCAAACACCACTGGGCACTGAATACCAGTCTGACAGATGTCTCTATCTTCATGCATCTTCTCCCCTCGCAGGAGCTGCTGCTGGAATTGGTGAGAGAGGCCATGGCCTCCAGCCTGGACAGCACCAGGGGGTTTGTGATGGATGGCTTCCCCCGAGACGTGAAGCAGGCAGAGGAGTTTGAAGCCAAGGTAGGTATTCAAAAGCCAAAGACAGGCAGGCGCCTCGAACGAGCCAATGGGAACATGAGTTTTAGGTGCAAAGGAGACTCCTGTACTTTGCGTTTTGAAACCAATAGTGGTCCTCATGCCTCTCAGCATATCTGTATTGCATATTTGTATGCAAAAACATAGAATCATAGGAGAAGGTCCTCCTGTTCATGGAAGGAATAAGATCAGGCTCCTGCAGGTGCATGGTATCAACACCAGGTCTAGTTCAGTTTCATACAGGGAAGCAGAGTAGCTCTGGTCTGTAAACATTAGGAAAAGAAATTATCACAGGGGAGCTGAAGGTGCACTTCTCCTTCTGAATGTTTACCATCTGAGGAGGCTTCAGTTTTAACATAACTAAACTCTGTAAACCTGGGCTTCAGAGAAAGCTGAAAGCTGATGTTTGCACTTTCACATTATCTCCCTTGACATCCTCCACAGAGCTTTGCGCAAGTGTGTTAGTTAAGCTTTCGCTAAAGAGACCGCCGACTGCTAGAAAAAAAGACGGCTTCACTTGCAGAAGCTGGTCTGAATTCCAAAGCACACATTACAGCAGCCCCTGCTGTTAGATACACACAACTACAGACCATAAAGCAACGTAAAACACACTAAATAGGAGGGTAAAAATGGATCCAAACGTTTGTTCACCTCACTCAAATCACCTTCCTAATCTCCGTTACTAGACGGTAGCTCTAGAAGGAAAAGAGATCCACCGAGAACACGCTCCTGGGAAGAGAGCAGTGGCTCATTCCTCTGTCCCGCAGATTGCAGAGCCCAGCCTGGTGCTGCTGATGGAGTGCCCCGCAGAGACGATGACCAAGAGGCTGCAGCGCAGGCCCCAGGTGGATGGGCTGGCTGACGACAGCCGAGACACCATCCGCAAGAGAGTGGAAGGTTTCAGCAGGACCACTGTGTCCGTCACAACCTACTACGAGCACAGGAGGCTGTTGCATAAGGTTAGCATCGCCTCCAGAGCCAGAGCCCAACTGCATACTTCTTCTACTGAGCTCTTTCTCAGCTGATGGAAGGAGAGTATTTGGTTTGTGACAGAAATGGTCAGATGACAAAGATTTTCTGTTTTATGGTGCCAATATGCATCAATATTATCTGAAGATACCCTGAAAGATCATATATTTTGCATTAGATTACTGGACCATCAATAAAAGCAAAATCTGCCTTATAGGCCAAAATGTAGTATCCCTACCATTGCAATTATTGGAGTGGGATAATTGCATACCTGTGCTGCTCAAAAATGGCTACTGGTTTAGCTTTAAGGGATACACAGACAGTAGGGAGAGGGTAAAAGGCTCTTGTTGTCTTTCAGGTCAATGCCGAAAAGGCCCCCGATGAAGTGTTCCAGCAGGTGTGCCAGGTGATCGAATCCTGTTAGCGACTGAGCAGCCCCGACTCCGAACGCAAAGCCGTCCGATAGGTGCAGGCGGGTGCTGCTCACTCAGGCGACGCCCCCCCCCCGACCGGATCACAGCTGCTCTCCTCCGCAACGCCGCTTCCGAAGCATCGAGTCCCACATTTGGAAAGTAATGCATGTTTGAGCACACTTGTAGACACTCGCAAAAACAAATGACTACAGCAGTGTATCGCACTACAGTGAGTGAGTGGTGGAAAAAAAACAAACATTAACGCTATCAGGCGGTTGTGGTTCACTCGTCTCTGTGCTACTCCCAGCATCCCCTCTCCCACTGCGCCAAACAAAAAGTTGAAGTGTTGCCTCATGTACTGTACATAAATAATTATCCCGTCATTCTGTCCATGCTGCTGTGAACTCTCCAATGAAATACTCAATTAAAAAAAGGCATGAGTGTGGCTTTCAACAGATACTAACAAAATAAGATAAGCTGTCAAACTGCTTTTAAGCACCAGTGTTGGTATGATTGTTATTAATTATCTGTGGCCAGTACAGCTTTGCTGCAGCTAGGATGCATGAGCAACTCTCTGTGTCTCTCAGAGCCTCTACACCTCTCACGGCACGAATTCCTCAGCAAATGGTGGCCTATTGGAAGAAATGGGTTTTTGCATTTTGAGTTGTATATTTACTAATGTTATTCGGCATATTTATCATTAAAACTATTATGTGTTTTAAAAGGGCGGTTTATCGTTTTTTTTTCAGGGGTTTCGCCCCGTGGGGTTTCTCTGGGTGGCGTGGTTGCTTCCTCCTCCCTAAGAAAGATGTGCCCGCAAGGTCACGTAGTCGAACTGTGTGTAGGAGAGCCTGTGTCAGGTCTGGTGCCCGGTGCCCCTGGGTGGGCTGTGGGGTACCACAACCCTCGTCACTAACAATCAGCTTTCTGGGGGGACAGATGGAAACTCTCCAGGATTTAAATCCATGTGGAAACATTCTTTTGGATGAATCATTATTTTCCGACTTGGGGGACAACATTGTGTTGTGCACTTTATACTTGTGAGATGAGCCTTGGGGCGATTTTCCCATTGCATTTCTTAGGTAAGGCACAAAGGGAGGTTAATTTCCAAATTCCCCATTTATTTCCAAGGGGTTCCCAAGTCTGGTCCTGGGAACCGTTAACGGAGCAAACTAGCTACTCGCAAGTCTTTCTTCTCGGAAGTTGGCAGTCTTGAGCGACTAATGAACCACAAGAGGTGATCTCTAACATGTTTAGAAACTAAAACAATTGAAGAGCACAAAATAAATCTCTCTGTGGTCGAGTTACATATTGAATATCAAATACATAACAGAGCTCAGCAGGTGTGGGGATCCCCAGGACGAGGCTGAGATCCCAGATATACTGCTTCCAGTGTTATGATGATTTCAGTGGTTTAAAGAGTCAAATGAAATGAAATCAAATGAAATCCCTGTCTACAGTGGCTGATAAAGAGGCATAATGTAGTTCCCCCCTTCTTCCTTGCTTGAATACAGGGATAGGGTAATGAACTCTCGCCCAGCGGAAACAGAAGCAACTCTCCAGGTGTGGACCTGGTAGACGCTCCACTGTACCAACCTGGGATCTGCAGAATTGCTCGGGAGAGCGGGACATTTCTGTGCGGCTCTCCCAGGGGCCATGCTGCTTTATTTTCAAAGAGACCACCTCTGGCTTCGGTCTGCAAGGGAGCAGGATGAGTGTTAGGGGAAGAGCTACAGGGGTGTCCTGTACTGGGCTGGGAGGGCTCATTTCCTGGTCTCTTGAAAGCAGCAGCACCTGATGAGCATGCCAGGACCATGATTGGACACCCACATGGACCAATGTCATGATCATCATCATCATCATCATCATCCTTAAAGCAGACAGGAACTCGGTAGTACTCCGAAGTAAAACGCTTCTTCATTTCCAGTGGTTTAAAAAAAATACAGCACTGGCATGAAATGTCAGTGTCCACCCCCACCGTCAGTCCAGCTGCAGTACTATTAACACAAGCACAAGGTCCGAGGTCTAACTTCCAGGGGTCAGCTAACTGTCCTCACTGGCACACAGCGCACCAGCATCTGAGCCTTCTTCCTCATCTTGTCTCACAAAGAGGAGCGGGCATCTTTCCGGTTGTTAGGAGAAGTTATAGCCCATCAAAAGCACCATCATCTTTTCACAATACTGGCTCCCTGGGCTCTTTACAATTCCTACAGTTTAATTTCCCTAAACAGACTCCAATGTATGCTTCAACAGCCCAGATGCAATATTCCAGCGTTTTTAACCAAGCATTAGGTAACCTTGCATAGATGTTTCCTAAATATGTGCAGTCATATGTCAATCATAGCTATGTTTGAGGATGATTTCTAGAAAACTACAAATTGGCAATTTATAACACCTGCTCAAAGACGAACCCTCCCCCCACCGAAGAATTTTAAATAAAACATTGAGATATTGTCATGTTGTCTGCTATTTGTCATGACTAATACTGCACTGTATGGCTAAAATCAATGTTGAGTCCTTCTATTGTTAATCTATTATTTTCTAAGAAATCACTCTACAAAAAGAATAGATCTGCGTTTACTCGTGGGGAAAAAGTCTATGCAATAATCATTTTTCAGTATCAATGGACAAGGATTTCAATAGTCTTTTGAAATAACAGCGTAAAATGTATTAACACTTGTATACAACAGACCACTTTCATACTTTTATTATGGCAACTTATATGAACACCCTATCTACATAAAATCTCATTCTTAGAGTTGCTCTTCGTATCCTTTGATCCAGTTAACCATGAATCTGAACTATTTCACACCTGAGCGACTAACCATTTGGTTAAGGTCTTATAACTCTGAAATTGGACATTTCCTTTTAAATTCAACACGCATTAGTAGAAAGCCCAGATGGTGTAAATATTCGAAAAACGTTTTTCAACGATTTTACCTTAAAAAAAATTATTAAACCTTTCAAACGTTTTACCTTTAAAATTGATTAAAATCCAAGATTCTCCAAGGCAAGGGTTACATATACCTTCGAATGAAACACCAAACCCAACTGAAGTAAATGGCAAAAGATTCTAGAGACTATTTGACACGAATCCCCCAAACCTTACTAGGCGATGTATTATTAGAAGAGATATTTTGGATTTTGAAACAGTCAGGCGGATGTGTCATGAAGGAAGAGCTACCCAGCTCTGTGGCTTACAGTCGGCAGTCAGCTAGGGTCAGACTGGAGCTGCTTGGAGCCCGACAGAAAGAGGAAATGAAAAAGTCCAGGACTCAGGCCATATAGAAAGACTATTTCCACATAGTTTTATTTCCACAGTTCTCCTGACAATTTTACATTATTTAAGAACATACTGTATACACAGATACTGAAGCAGGAAAAAAAACCCTTACAAAATGGTCTAATTGAAGCACAACAAAATCTACTTGTATAAAAGAATGCAGGTGAACCTCTGCTCACTGCGGTGACTAACCCTTTTTTTTTTTCTTTAAATAGATAATAAAAATACAATCTTTTATGGACCTTGTGCAGACTGCAAAGTTAGGGAATCTACATACATGATTAGCCAGTTTCATCGACGATTTGCAATGTCAACTCGCACTGCAGAGGCAGAAAGGCTGTGTAATTCATTCAGCTGATAGGTGGAAACTCCAAGAAATGTTACACAGTTACTACCACTGGCTACTTCTTTTTCACCATATAATGTACACACCACATGTTTACAACAGTACATATTTTTTTTTTTTAAAATGACTGGATGACATCTCTACCTTCTGAATCTGGGGAAACTAAGAGCAGCACTGTGTTGCGTGCCACTCTTCGCTCGTCTTCTGTTGGTGTAGTGCTTCTGTGTTGGTAAGCAAATGAGTTTAGTGAAGTTTCGATATCAAAAAAAGAACAAAATAACCAAAAGACGTGATAAAGCAGCTTTTAGTGAAAAGGGGACCACGCTGTTGACAACTGCAGGGTCCACAGACATGTTTTAAGAACATTATTGGATTAGCAAACACTGTGATTGGTTAAAAACCTAGTATGAATCAAAATGTCCGTCCCTGTTCCAAATCTAACTCAGGACAAAATGGCAAGATACCTCACTGATTCATTTATAAATACTTATCTACAGACACCTAGCTATATCATGTTACCTTTTGTTATGATAGAGAGACTGAGGCTCCTTGTCAGAGAAACGTTTGTGTTGTCAGAGGGTTAACTAGACAGCGAGCTCATCTACGCCCTCGAGTCCGTCAGCTGACCATGTGGAGGTCCAACGGAATCGCCTAAAACGAGAGCCCCTGGGGGCGCCTCTTTTAGCCGGCCCGGTAAGGAATGTCGCTGCGTCTTTCGACGCCGTGCCGTTTTTTAAAGACCTGTGACCGCTGGGACGGCCGCACAGAGGTTTGGCCGTGACACGCCCGTGGAAGCTGTCCTACCCGGTTTTCGACCCGCGCGGGGGAGGGCGCCACCGTCCGGTTTCCAATCCAAGCGCGGAACGTCGACAATGGAGCCATTGGCAAACCGTTAATAAAGGACGTCGAGCCTTCGGACCGCTGGCTTTGCCCCTGTCATCTGTTGGCGGGGAAGTAGTTGGGATCAAGGTAGTTGTAGCCTGTGCTGTGCGGCATGCAGTAGTCTCTGTCTAGAAACGTCTCCGCTCGGTAAATGGCCTCCAGGGCGTGGTCAGGCTTATGGGTCTCCGTCTTCAGTAAGCTGTCAAAAGCAGCGAGACGCACACGGCGTTAGACGTGCAAACATGATGAGGCAGCGCCACTGCAAATCTACTAGAAGGGGGGAGAAGTCTCGCACAGCAGTTTGTGCGATTCCTCAAGCGAAAAAGCCGTCTTAAGACGTCTTAAACGGGGCATCTGAAATAAAACCTGATCTGTGTGGGCTTACCAGTCCGAACAGCTGGTGCAGAAATCGATGGCGTTCTCCGGCGAACAGTCCTGACAGTGCCACCGAACTCCCTGAATGGGCTCCACCCCACAGTTGTCACACTGCCGGACAGCCAACAAAGAGCAGGACAGGAAAGACATAAGAACACAAGTGAAAGGAGGCCATGTAGCTCATCCAGTCCTTTCGGTCGTTAGCGGCCGACTGATCCCAGGAAGCTTTCTGAAAGAACCTAAGGTATGAGCTCCAACGATGCGAATGTTTGCTCCCCACCCCCGCCACCCTTTGCGTCAAGTATCTCCAGTTACTCCACGCTATTTCTCTTTTTGCTGTTCACTCTGAAGATGTCCTCTGGGCTGACTCTGTCAGTGCCTTTGAGGATTTTGAATATTCGTATCGTGTTTCCTGGGAGTCGTTTCCGTTTAGGACTAAAAAGGTTCAGTTCCTTCAGGCAATTCTTTTCAGGACTGATTTATCAACACTGACCCAATAATCAGCATTAGTATGACACACGGACCTGGATGAAACACAGGATCACCGGGATATTCCTAGTTTAATTATAAATAAAAAATGACTGCAAGACATGTTTAATAAAATCCCTGTGCATATAGCGACCAGACAACATAAACCCAGATACACTAAGGAATCGAGTCATTTTAAAAATCTTTTGGGAACTAAAGCAAATCTCTAAACTCACCTTAAATCCAATATGTTGCACCAAAGAGTTTTCAGTACACATTTCATGGAGTTTCTGTTTCTTCAACTTCTTCAGCTGCATCAACTCTTTGTACTCCGGCAAATGTCTGTACTCCACCGGGATGCTTTCCTCATCCTGTGGGAAAGGAAATTCAGCATACACTGGCACTTTACTGGAGATCACTGACTGCATGCAGAAACCGAGCCCTACTGCCGCATGTGCATAGAGAAACATCACAGCAGGTGTAAGAGCCCAGGAGCTGGTGTGCTCAAAATAAGCATATTTAAGAGGACTCCAGTGAATATTTGAAATCGTTACAGAGCACGTTTAAAAAAACAAAATTCCAATTAAAGATGCCAGCATTTTCTGTGTAGCACATCTACAAGCTGTGGATGCAAAATAAAACGTCTCCTCGTCTGAAATGAAGACACTAGCACCTAGAAGTTTATTGTCAAGACAAAATAAATCAAGTATATGTCATCTTCCAAGCAAATTTACAACCTACCAAAAAAAAAGAATCCAACAGCCCTAGTCACAAGTACAGTAATATTAAGGCTCCCTCTTGTGGTGTAATTTTGCTACAGCGCCTGTCTTTGTAGAAGGCTCAACAATCTGTTTCCTCAGTGCAGTGCAGTCTAATACACTAAAGAAAGAGATGGTCTTCCAGTTCTCTTTAAAGAATTGAGAAGTGCAGAGCACTGTGTTATCCTTGTGCACAGAATAATAATGGACCCCTATGGAATACAGTAATAATACATTAAGCACTATGGTGGTCACACTGAGCAGAACATCTCTCAAACACCCTAAATCTTGTCCTGATCTCTGCTGTCCATGTTTTCTTAAAATACACTGTTCTTGACATTTTTCGCATAAGTAAACGGGCAGAAATTGTTCCATCAGAACAGGCAGTCTGATGCTCAATGCTCAGTAATAACATTCGGAAAACCGTAAAAATAAGTGGCCTCGAGATTCCCACATCCAAACGAAGATGGCTTCTTGTGGCTTACGGAGACCGAACTACGGAGAACATTTCTTGTGGGAGAGAAGCTTTATTTTTACAAGATGCCCAATGAAAAGTGATCGATGAACCAGATAGCCTTCTGCCCTGTCAAGTCAGAATTTCGGGTGTGCAGGGAGGGTTGTTCACCCGTATGACGGGAGTGTGACGCTGCTACAGTACAGCACAGCTAAGCCGAAACCCGCGGCCCACTTACAGACTCCTCAGCCGCCGGGTCCTGGAGGTTGCTGTAAAAGCTGGACCTGTCGTCGTCGTCGTCCATGTACACAGGTGGCTCGTAGGAGGTCATGAAGGTGGAGGGTCTGTACAGGTGCTTGTTCAGATGGTGCTGCCTCTTGTTGGACGCCTACAATGAGCACTGCTGTTTAAGTACACCATGCTTCCCAGAGCACAACCCTCAGCTGATCCTTTTCAAGGTGCCCTGCCTGTATTCCTAACGTAAGGCGCTACAGAAAGAGCATCTACAATCTCAACACGTCCTTCACGTCTCTTAACCTTCAGGCATGTGGGGTGTCCGCTTGTGGGTCTGACTGGGGAGTGTCCAATCCTGGCCTTTGTGTCCACAGGCTTTCATTCCAATGTCACTCTTAACAAGATCAACTA